ACAACAAAATGAGATTTTTAGATGAGAAATGTAATGAATTCTTCTATAAACTAGTAGAAGTAGAAAGATGCATGTTACGAAATAAATTAATCAGAAGAAGAGAAAGAGGCGATGTATTAAAACGTATTAAACATGTTAATAGTGAGGACTGGTTGCATCCCTGGTCGCTATATGAAATAGAGGAAATGTTTGGTAGGGATTATGAACTTAATATACTTTTCGATGAGACAGAGATTTGAAGTTCATTGTAGAATCAAAACTTTTTAGATTCAAATAGGGAATAAATTCTCAGCTACTTGATCCATGTATAATCCCGGTTTCGCTTTTTTTATTCAAAAAATTTATCACGCTTTTGTGTCCTACCACATCGAAAAATTTATCGTGCTTTGTAAATGACTCTAAATAATTACTCATTCTCTTCGTCAGACCATTCACTATCTGAATCAGACCATTCGCTATCCAAATCAGGACATTCAACTTCGATGTTTGGATTAAGTCAATAGTAAACGTATAAGAGGTCTCACATTCCATGGCGCATCCGAAGTCAGAGGAATTTCTGCATGATCGATATGGAAATATTGAGGTATACAACTAGCATCATTCATCAGAACATTCAAATACATGGTATTACCTGCCACTTGAATTCCAATAATACCAAATTGATTACTAGTTGGTCTACAAACACCACTTACAAAGCTCGCACCATCCAACATTTCCCTCCATAACTTTATCTCGTCATCTGATTTTTTTGTAGAACTGCAGATTATACGTGAACACTCGGCATATAGAAGCTCAAAAATTTTCTCTTTACACTTATCTAATACCATCACATCGGGCTTCTTTCCTATCTGCTCTCTACCCAACACTCCAAAATTTTTGTGTAATTTACTTGCCATACTCTGGTGTTCTGCCATACTCAAGCAAACGCACCCATTTGGCAGATCTTCCAAGGTAGCTCGAAGTAAAGGCACTACTACATCTGCAATATAAGTACCTTCACTTTGTTCTTTGCGAGACTCACCAGTTTCAAATGCTGGGTTATTCGATACTTCTTTACTATGTATACGAAATATATGTTAGGGTCCACAAGGAAAGTTTATACTCACTAAAATTACTTACAGTACAGCAAAAATACGTTCTACTCTTTTCTCCAGATCAGTTTCATTCTCTTTCCATGTCTTATCATGTAAAATATTTTTAAGTTGATTCGGAATCTCTGATTTATGGAAATTATGTATAAGTTCATCACACTTGGAGTAAACCGACTCGGGAATTTCACATTTCATATTATTGCGTGGTTTCTAATGCAGTATTAGTGAAAATCGTAATCATAAACTTAATTTCACATATCGTTAAATTCTCACCAAAAAATGACATTTTTGCCTACTTCCCAGATTTTTTATTATTTGTGAATCCTCACTAAGAACCGTGCTCGCCTCCAGGTCTTTCCATGTGAGCTCAGAAGAATCAATTTTACCTAGATTTTTCTTAATAGAATCATAAAGAGACATGTCGGCATCCGTAATTGGTGAGCTAAGTTTCGACTTCAACACCCTAAGATTTTCCTCTACTTCTTCTTGCGTATAATTCGGGATTGATTTACATGTTGTATTCAGAGCCTTTATTCCTCTCAAACCTACGACACTTCTATATCCAATATACATCTACAGCAGATATCATAAATACCGGTATGTTAAAATCGCGATGTCAAATTCATATAGAATGCTTTCATATATTTACATAATCAGACATCTTTCAATGAACAATAATGCTTTATTGCAGGCTGAAATAACCACGCACAGCCAGGGGGGAGCAGAAACCCTCAACATATAGGAGAATTATTCATTCCTGAACATATCGCTCTTCCGGGCCGACATCCCCCGGCCTTCAGCAATGGCCAACCAAACAAACAGCTCATTCATCTACTGTAGTATCATCATTCCATATAAATTATAGCCATTGGGAATCCTGAAAAAATATCACTAACCTCTGGTAAAATATTCAATATTTTTTCTCTTCGATCAGAATCATCTACAATTTTCAATGCTTCTTCCACTGCACGCCCAGCCAAATCTCTAACATCCTCATACACACCCAAAGAATTATCAACCATTGCCAGATAAACAACCGTTGCAGAGCAAATGGCATCTAATGATTCTTCCAATAAAAGTGTTACGATTTTTGAAAATTGGTTTGACATGGTAAAAAATTTTATAAATTAATACGATGTATGAAAATAATAAAATCAATATAAAAATGACTAGCTCATAACTTCGATATACTGTCCTTTTTAAACGTTTCTTTCGCGCATATACACTTCAAAGATTCTTTACGCCAAGGAATTTCTCTTACCAAGAAAAAGCATGTACAATGAGGTAATTGATCGAATTTGGTTAATCGCACAAATAAATCATGCAGGGTCAGGTGGTAGCATGCATTGAAGAATAATTTTCATTACACAGCCTCATTTACACGATTAAATCATTTATTTGGAAATTTATATGCCAAACTTTATTTATATGACATAAAAAATTGCCAAACTTGTAGACTGTGACCCAGGGTCACGATTGCCTTATAACATCACATACTTAAAGAAAATTTAAGTTCCAGTATCCTTTCTAACCTGAGATGCTACATATTTGATATTGTCCAAACTTAAATTCGAAATAGATGATGCCGTAAATGTTTTTATTCGTTGGATATATACCATCCGTTGATTTTTATCATCATTAATACGAAAAAAAAGGTCATAAACCTTTCAAGCTCTTTCCGTTTTCTTTCGAATTGTAGGTTTGGAAATCTCCTTTGGGAGCTGATCTCTAACTTCATTATTAATCTTTTTCTGGGCTTCGTGTTCTGGCAGATCTTTATACTGGGTAAGACGTTTTTCTAATTCCTCCCCAAAGTAGTAATAACTTCTTATTAGTTCGTGACGTGCATTATCATTTTGTTTTTCAGCATTAGAAATTTTTAAGTACAAATCGAAAAAAATCTTATTCTCGCTTCCTCGTATGGATTCTCTTTGGAGTGCTTCCCTTTCCTTAACTTCAGAAATTCGTGAGATATCTGTGATCAATTCCTGGATAAGCCTTTTTAATATGCGAGAATCCTCGTCCTTAACCTGTTTCTTAACTTTTTTACTGGATGATTTTTCGGTGGAATCACTAACCTGCTTTTTACTACTAAGATTGGGAGAGTTTTCGATTGGAGTATCTACCGATCCATCCGCATCATCATCCGCATCATCCATTTCCTCATCTTCTTGGATTACTTCTGTATTGAGATTACTCATCCTCCTAACTATCGATGAAGTACTTGACTGAGATGATTGTTGAGAAAACCTTTGTTCAGAGACCATGGGCTCGACAGATTTATTACAACCAGGAATAGGACATATATTTGAATCTGTAAGTGAAATTTTTTTCTCGATACAATATCTATGGTATGTGTGTCCACATGCGAGGATTGTAAATGGTTCATAGCTAACTGTTAAAATTTTTTTATCACATTCCGAGCATGGTGCTAGTTCAGTAACATCGATATTTTGGACAATTGTATGGTTGGTTTCTTTTAAAATATTCAGCGCGAAGATTTGGAGGTTAGAAAGAGACATGATAACAGTTTTATAATAAATCTTTATGGCAAATACACATTGTTTTATAA